ACATGCACGTCGCCCTCTCGAAGCATTCGGGGTACAATTTTACAGTTGTAATGGGCGGGCGTACAAGCAATAAGGTTGCCCAGGGTTCCTATACTTTTGCCCCCACCCAAACCAGAGATCGCCATGGGGGGTGGAGGGCATATATTTTGAACTTGGGCAAATGCCAAGGTTTCTCGTGCTTCGGGCCAACGTGAATATTGACGTCATTTCAGCGAACAGAGCGCTCTGATCTAAAAGGCAATGTTTGAAGATAAGAGCACGGGTCGGGACCGAGTTGCTGCGGCATTTTTTTTTGAAATTAAGTGAGATATGTGGAATGGAGCTCCAGTGAAGTAAAGGAGGGAGGAAGCTATCTACAAGGCCGAATACCCTTTCTAGCAGCAGCGAACGAGGTTGACTTGGAAGGAAAGTATGACCAAACAAGTTTTCCGAGCATGCCGAACGCAATCAACGTACTCTATTCGGCCGATTCCACATACTATGCCAACAAAGCACCACCTCGTAGCGGCCATAGCCTCGCCAGATGGCCATAGCCCACAATACTAGGCCGGTGGCGCCAAAAGCGCGCGGCTTCAAGTCGCAAGCGTGGTATTATCTTTAGGCCGATGTCAGACTTTGCGAATCGCGCGATTCGCTACTAGCGATTCGCGCGATTCGCTAGCGTCCGCGGTCGCGTTGCGGTACCAGCCAATTGAGTGATTCACTGGCCGCGACGCGACCGCAGACGCTAGCGAATCGCGCGATTCGCAAAGTCTGACATCGGCCTTATGGTTGCTGATCCAACCGCAGTATTGATGCTGGGGCTCTTTGAACGCCTAATTCCAATACTTGCCTGTAGATGCGCCTTCAGAATGAAAAGCGAACAATTGCTACTGCCAACATACCGGTTGGCGAAGCGGTTTGGGGCTTTCAGGTTCAGAGTCTTACTCAAATAGCTCACCCTCCGCCGCAAGAACGCCACATCTCTACACACGTACCAAACTTTATCTCTTATTTCTTTTCTAAATTGTTTTCTTTTTTCTTTCTGAATCAAAGTTTTTGTTTACTCATTAGTCGGTTGATACCACAGGTGGCGCACATAGTTCCTAGGTGGCACTAATTTCATCATAACCACTGTCTTTAATAAAATTTTGAGGTGTCATGTACGAACTCGATTCGCGTGATGAAATGACATTATACGACGTGATGCTCAGATCTCAACGTCTTGCCTATAACTTGTTTGCGGAAGCTAGAGAATGGAACGGGAACAGCAGTGTAAGTGATCGTTCCTGGGAATACTCCGTACCCTGAAATAACAGAATTGAGGCGCTTTGAGTAGCATAGCAACCGGTGTGGTTCACAGAAGAGATTTGATTATTATTCTTTATTATCATCCATCTTACTATTCTGCGTACTGCTATACATTACTCTTCCCTATATTACTAGTCCTACATACTTATTTTGCGCCATCTCACTATAACTCTTCTGCAGTGACTTGCTCTCGTCGTTAACATTGGGAGGTGCTCTTCACGTGTCGATTGCGAAGTCTGACCTTGATTATGGGAAATAAAAAGGCTAGCTAGAACCATCTCACCTGCGGCTACAACTGTGCTACGGCCCACCCCGCGCGGTCCCACCATGGACCCTCACGCCATGTTATCTAAAGTGGAAGGAATCGAGGAGGGGTCGTAGCTGATCTTGATGTACCTCAACGCGCGATGCCAAACTCCTTTGTCGGGTACCCCCAGGAGGCCCGTCGCGCGGCAAGAAGGCAGAGTCGGCGGACGAGTTGCAGCGCGTGATGTGCGATGTAGGACGTGCAATGGGACACTCTATTTAACTTGACGCGAAATCCCTATAGTACGCGCGCGACTCGTCCGCTGACTTTGCCTTCTTGCCGCGCGACGGGCCTCCTGGGGGTAACCCCTTTGTCAGCCTGTGCGGAGTGCGCATTGCTGCTTCAGCCCCATCGTACATACCTTCCACCAAAACGATTAGGTGTTCTCGAACGTTCCGATCGTTGAACTTTGTGCAGCGTAGTGCTTGCGGTAGACGCTCAAATGCCTTCTACTGTTAAGGAAAGTAGGTAAGTCAGAAGAAAGTGCACTTGCTTTTCGCTTGCTGTCTCATTGATTAGTTTCGTGTAAACTTTTTCTCCACAATCTCTGGTTCATTTCTATGTGGAGTTACGGAAAAGTAGTTTTAAGACTTCGGAAGTTTTTTTTATATATTCGTGTATTTCAGAAAGATTCATTGTTGAGTGAAGCTATGCTCAAAACAGCTGCACAATCTCTCTATGATAAAACTGATGATCAACATGCGGATAGGGTTAGGAGGGTGAGTTAAAGGACCAAATTTTTCCAAGCTACACTGTCAGACTTGAACAAGTGGTCCAGTGTCGTTTCCGATACAACACGATGGTTGATGGCCAACAGATTTTACCTTGTAAATGCAAGGAGAGACGACTTATCACAAGCGTAACATCACAGAAACCAAGCGACCACAAACGATAAGTGTGTAGTGGATTAGATCCTAGCTGTTCCCCAACTTTTTCAGAAATCACTGGAAAGAGTCTCGTCAGTTATTTATTGGCATAGAAACGAAAGCGATTATTTCATGATGCTAAATCTGGGAGCTGTTCGACAGTAAGTTGTAAACGGACTTTGCTTCAAGGAGAAGTGGGTGCGAAGCCCAATAGGGATTCCATCGCAGATCTCACACTGGAGCATTTGGGGGACGAAAAAGGCGAAAAAGATTAAGGTCATTGATCTTGTTCTAATTATGATATGATAGGTTTTCGCAGTCGCTATTGAAAAATTCCGGGATTTCTGGCGAAATTAGGTTTTCCCCGTCAAATATGGAGCAGTACGCAAGGGCAGACCATGTGCAGAAGTGGCGGGGCGTTTTGATAAGGTTTAGGCGCTAGGGGCCTAGGTTGGAGCATTGGCGCCGCCCCAAGCCCATTGAGCCCGCCCACCGTCCTACGTGATCTTCCAAACAACCACCTGGAACGCTAGATGTTAAGCCGTTGTTTGGAAAGTCGTAGGGGAGTATTTAGCGGATTTCAATTGCGAAAATCGACATCAAAGCCTATCTTACGACCATTTTGGAGAACGTTGTCATCATTCTAGTGAGAAGAAAAAATTTTAAGATAGGAAGCAAACAAAAAAAGCACAGGAAAAATAGAAAAAATAGGGAAACTAGAAAAATCAGTTTTCATTGCTGACTTTTTGTGGTCGTGTCGGTTGATGGCACAAAGCCAACAGTTGCTGTAGACATGTCCAAACACGTAATTTTCCCAGCCCTGGTTCGTAAGCGACTTTCTTAATTTTGTAGTTCTTTGGAGAAGTTATTCGCTCTGTTTTGTTAACTCCTCGATCAACTTGCACCCAAGCTCTTCCTACACAAACAATCATCCCTCGTTTATCCCAGACTATTGCTTTTAATTATCGAGTGAGAATAAATTGAATGAAAAAATGCAAGCGAAAACCATCCGAATATCGTGATAATCCAGGGACGGTAGCAAACCTTCATTAATTCAGACTTAACGTGTCGAGATTAGCTCAGACCAAAGTCAGTTTAGATAACTGGTTCAGAGCGCTTCTCAACACATTAAGTCTTGTTTAACCTACAGTTAGATCATAACCAAAAAAACCAATTTGACTTGAAGTTAGACAGTTAACTTGTAAACCTAATTCCTAACTAATCAGAGAAAAAAAATACTGTGGGGTTGAGGAGACGCAGAGGCCACGTTGATCCTTCACTAAAAAGTACTCCGAAGCACTTTTTACTGGAGGGTCATACGTGTCAGACGTGGTGACTGCGCCTCCTCAATCCCGTGCTCTTTTTTCTTCTCTGACCAGCTCAACCTGTTAGGAATCAAAGAATGCAGCTGCGATCCATAATCTTCAGGTACTTTTGCAACCTTTTTTTTCTTATTTATTCGTTTCCTGATATTTTGTCGTCTGAAATCTAAAGTAGGAAGCTCTTGCTTGATCTGGGCTGGATCGCACTCTCCATTCTTTATTCTTTGCTTAGAATCTCCGATCGTTACTTCTGATTGCGAGTTAAGGGTACTTTGCTACCGTCCCAGATGTTTCTGAAAGTAATGTTATAAATAATACATTTGACCATTTAAACTCACATCATTTCACCATGAAATCACTCGAAGCACCTCCTCTTTGAAGACGCGGGTACGGTAGTGGCTAAAGGATGAAAATGGAATGACCACGATATGTGGCAACGAAGATAAAGCAAAGAGAACCGAACATAAAGCAGCAAAGTGGAATCCTCATTACTCTCTTCTGGGCCTAGGGTTCAGACGCGAGGTGGCTTCCAGAGAGAATGAGGTAATATGAGGCGATACTTAGGTTGAAGCAAAACACCACCTCGGCTTGAAAAGGGACGAAATCACAGCAGGATTAGCGATATGGCTTAATTTTTTCGTTATGCTACCCTTCAAGGCCAGAACTGCAAGGAGGAAGTTGCTACAATTTCTCAGACTAAGTAGTTTTGACGGGTGTGGTTCTCACTAGACAGAAGGCGATTTTTTCTCTTTGCGCAGTTCCAAGCTTTTTTGCTGCGGAGCTTCAGATCAACTCCGATCACTTCGTGAACTTGCGATCGCTGCAAGAAAACGAGAGGTGCGACATCGCACAGCGCGTCTCCTGCTTGCTGATCCAACCCAGTTTCCAGACCGTTCACTTAAAATAAACTTTAAATTTTGCTAGATGGAACTAGACGAGGGATTGTACCGCGTTCTGGCATTCACCTCACATGAAAGTTCACAGTAAACAAATTTATTCTTCCATAGGTAAGAGAACGATCATACAGTCAGTACCAATCAAACATGCGGACATTGCCTTCGTATCCGGTAAATCATCCCTTTAATGCTGAGGCATTTTCGCTCTGCCCACGCTCTAACTGAGTAATTTGTCGTGAGTCTAGTACGCGAAACCTATACTCGCCAGTTTTGCACGTACCATAGGAAAATACTGATCTTAGATGCACTCCAAGTTTTCATGCCTGCTACCAAAATACGTTTCAGGATCAAGCCGGATGAAACTGCAAATTCGTCGTTTTACCTATCAGACACGAAAGAGAGAAGTGCTCCAGTGTCTTCTTCTGCCGGTGTAATTATTATGCGCAAGAAATTCGATGGAGCCCCTTCACAAGTAATGCAACACGAATCTTGGTTATTTGATTCAGAGACGTTCAGATATTTGGCCAACTATGTGATACATAATTTTCTATGGGAAAACTCTTTAGCACATCCACTAATCATAGAAGCCCATTAAGTGCGGGGCATAGGATATACAGCTTTTTCAAAACCTACCGCCTTATGCGGCAGTTTGGTGGGAGACGAATGGACGATAGCTCCAGTTCAGAAATCTTCGACCTACCATTGGAGTATTCAGTTGTATCTAGACTTACTCTTTCATTTTCGATTCTGGCGGTTCATTTCTGATAAAAAAAACCTGAAAAAATATCAGTCAGTATAGGCGCAACCACCCATTGTTTGTGCTGTTTGTGTGCCTTTGAGCGGAAATCTGTTACACGTAGGTATTCACTTCCGTGCGTGATTATGATATGATGAAAACGCTGATGATTTGTGACAAAAAGTGATAGCAGCTTGTAAAGGTTAATACCGGAAAAAGTCCCTACCACCTTGGTTCCGGCATGAGTGTTGACAGCTGAGCTTCCACACTTACATATACCTGTGACATGGGCACATTTGTAAGCTTAGTTATATGTACAATCGAAAGGGCACAGTTATCCAATCGGAAAAGAACGCTTATCTTTCTTAGATAATATTACCTTTCACTTCCACATTCATTGCAAACACATTGGGCTTAAGACCTTTAGACCGCGTTCATAGTTCGCGACTCGGGAGATTAGGATAGTAGGCGATAGGATATTAGGCTAGTAGTGGAGAAGTAGTAGTGAGTAGGGACGATCTCCCCTGGACTGCGCGTTCAGCCTGCCGGCCCGCGCACGTTAGGAAAGTTGATCACTCCCACTTGGACAGATTGCGAGGACACGCGTGATTCATTGCTGCACCTTGTACACAAATACTCTGTAAAAAGCCTAAACGGCAACACACAAAATGAAATGGCCCCCAGCGGCGCAATTATTAAGGGAAGTGGAAGTTGACTGAGAGCAAACTCTAGCAGGAAAAAAATATGGCCATTGCAAACGCATGCACAGCATTTGAATGATGTGGCGATTGGCCATCGCCCGCAGGGCCGAAGGTTAAACCCTGTCCGATTTCCGGCCGTCCAGTGAATACTTCCGTTGTGGTTCTAAAACTCAATTGTGTTGTAAGTTGATCTGGAGCAGAAGCCCCCATTTATTTGGTAGAACCCCACCATAACTATTTGTAGCTCATCACATTGGCAGCAACAGGCATCCGATCACTGCGCCACAGTAGAAGCAGTTTCTACCGTCATTCTCCGTATGCTATGGTTAGACGAGGACCCCGGTGCAGCAGTTTGTGCGTCATCGTTGTACCATGACTATCGCGATGGACACTGCTATTGCGACAACAAGTGCGAAGTGAGTGCAGCTTCAATCACATTAGCATCTTATCAGCGACATATTATGAGCAGTTGCGACTGTATCCATGCTGGCAGTAAGAGCACGTCCAGCACAGAGAGTGCAGCGTACGTAATCTTGTACAACAACTGTTTATTGAACAATTATAGAGGCGAAGATACGGTATGAGGTATGGTACAAGAAGTGTGAAGCGTCCAGGATAGGGTAGAGGCGCAACAGAGGAGATCCAGTTAATCCAGTCCACTGCGCGTCGTCGTGGCCGACAAGTCGAATGCCCTCGCACTTCCTCACCTTGTTGTCATTCCTTGGGGCTTCGGTCGCAGTATCGCTCGTCGTCATCTAGAAGTACACATTCTGAGGGATGACCAATGAATCGATTGTTAAGTGCCCAATAGCCAATTTCCTCCCTTCACTGCACACTGATACAGTTCGTCGAATCAAATGGTTATGTTGTTGGCGCCCTTGCCGATTTTAATGACTCAATTTCGCATGCTTTATTTCCGTGTTATCTTTATGAAATCATTTTTCAGAAGTGTAACGTGCCTTCCAGGAGCTGCGCTGGACGATTGATAGTCGCGCGATTAGATCGCATTCGCAATGATGTCATACGGAACGCTTTGGTGTAGCTCCCATTGCTGATAAAATGCGCGAAGCTCGGCTTCGATGGTATGGCCACGTTCTTCGCGGAAATGATGACAGTGTTCGCAAGATCGGCCTCAACATAGACGTGCACGGAAAGCGGCCTAAGGGACGCCCGAAACAGCGCTGGCTCGATACGTTGCACGGACTTGAAGTCGTTAACATCCACCCCGACCAAGCATTTAATCGGGAAAAGTGGCGTCAACACATCAGAAAAGCGGACCCCGCCAACAAGCGGGACAAACGCTAAAGAATAAGAAGAAGAAGAAGATAACGTGTCTCTCAGAAGACATTGGCCTACCGACGACCACTTTTCCAACTATCCAAAACGTCTGGAAAAGGCATTGAAACCGGCATGAATAGTGGAAGGCTGTTCTCCTACGGCGTATATACAGCAGCTGGACTTTTTGATAATTTTTGTTGTAGGCTGAAGTATGAGGGTTGTAGCAGCTTCTATTTCCCTCAAATGTTTGTTTGAAGCAGAATCGCTTTTGAATTACGGAGTGAAAATCAATGAGAGTTCCACGAACGACCCGTAGCAGGCATCAGAAATGCACGGAAAGAAACGATTATACAGGGGGGGCCAATAAAAAAAAGACATTTTGTCTCCGCGTTCTGATGGATTTAAACACATTTTGCCTAATTCAAACCGAATCGACCCAACTTGGTATTGAAGAGCACATTTCATTTTATAAGAAAATCTTCATAGTGGCCTCCTACATGGCCGGCATCAGAAAAATTTGCCTCAAAATCGTGCGCTGGTCGAGCTCAATGGGGTCTTCGAAGGATCGTGTACCATAACGACCTTTCCTGGAAGGCGTGTTCCAAGGGGGTTTTGCATAGTGGGAGCTAAGGTCTCTAGAATCTATCCAACGTTGAATCGATTCACGAAATTACGTAAGAGCTTCAGGCTGAAGCAGTTACGGTAGGCCTCCTTGAGCTTGACGACGGTGACAGATGACGTCATATTCTGAAGACGGTGAGGGCAGTGAAGGAGGCCTGCGTCACTATAGAGGGACATTTAGGAATACTCTGCTGAGGAACTTCCGTCAACGACGGCAATCTCTGCGAAGAAAAAAGAGGCCGAAGTCCGACATAGGCAAAATGTCTTTTTTTTTTGGCCCCCCCTGTAGATAGGGGTTTCACAGGAACCTCTTCAGTCACCAATTCGCTTTTAGCTACTAATGGTTAATGTTGGTCTTCAGTACAAGTTGTATCATCCGGCCCTAGCTAAATCGTAGTTATCGGAGAGGGGGGTTGCCGTATTAAAGAAATCATCACTCAGAAGTCAGTCACTAACAAGGGCACTAACAAGGGGAGTCTTTCAGGGCGATAAAATAAAATTATTGATTTTGTGCTGAAATATAATTGAGTCATTCAGTTGTAAACAAAAGTTGTTTTAGATTCTCATATTTTATGTTTTTTGCCAAATTTTGTTAGGGGTTTTTTTTTACAAGCCATAGCTTTTCAAATGGTATTCTGATATTGTAGCGGAGCATGTGTAACGCAAACCATGTTTCATTTTCGCTGAACGGTTATAGCAGTACCAAAAAAGAAGCATAAGGTACTGTTAAGGGTTCGATCCCGTGGCGACTAAATTTTGCATTTGGGTTGGCGCCTACGGTTTGGTGCCAAATCGCGCTAAATATCAAAATCAGATGTCAATTCATCGTCAGGACCATTTTGAAGCCAACAAGTGGCCGCCAACCTTGATTGCAAAATTTAGTCGCCGCGGGGGATTGAACCATCAAGAGTATCATTCACCACTTTTTTGGTACTACTAAAACCGTTCAGCGAAAATGGTTTTGTGGTCCATACATGCGTCCCTACAATATGCAAGAAACCGTTTCCAAAAAGCGCGGCTTGCCCTGAAAAACCCCTCTCGTAAGTCATCGGGACTGGACTGCGCCGCTTGCGCTGGATTAGAAGCTGCGGAGTAGAGCCCAAAACGTTAGAACACTCCGAGAAAGGTGTCGAATGAATATAAATAGTTGCCAAGGCTCCTACATACATACTACATACACATAGGGAGCGACTTCTGGTCACGGTCACGGTCGCACGACGGTTTATGCTGCTTCAACTGAAACCTTGCAGTAATATGAAGTTTAAAACCCGCAAAAAGGCTATCATTGACAGTGAAAAGACATTGTTCCAGCATGCCGAATTAGGCTGTTCGAGAGTACCTGAAGGAGACTTGGAAGCTCAAGATCGTATCGTCATGGCTATAAGACGCCGTTCAGCAAATGGTGATTTGACTGCCGCTGTGGATTATCGTGATCCAGATTTCAATTACGCCGTCGGTTATTAAAGTTGCTTGTTGATCCGTTATAAAAAGGCAATTACCGTAGAATTTCTCTTAATGTTTAATAAAATTTTATCAACCTGTGTGAAGTGTACCACTTCTGCCCACTTCTACCGCCTTCATCGCGTCAAGGGAAATTAACAATGAAACCTCTGCGACGGCTCTATTGCCGCTGCTCGTTTCCACTTAAAGGCAGCGATTACGATAGGGAAGGAACGCATCGAGGAAGCATATGCACCACACGAAGCAGTTACTTGGCTGCCAAGGAAGCGAGGTGTGGCGCTTTCACGACGAAAGGTGCGCTGGTTGCTGAGCAGGACTTCGAAAGCACTTCGTATAACTTATCGAACCGCA